ATTTCGAAAAATAGAAAAAACAGACATCGAAGAACTGAACAAAAATCGAGAAATACGAAAAATTTACAATTTTAAAAATTGAAACATTAAAATATCGAAAAAAGTTAAGAATTAAAAAACAAAACTGAAAAATCGAGAAATCGAAGCCTCAAAAAATCGAAAAATTGGAAAATCTAAAATTCAAACTTCAAAAACTGAAATTCGAAAAAGTAAAAATCGAGAAATCGAAAAATCGAAATATTAAAAAATCCTTAAAACAGCCGGCCTTCTGCAGTTAATCTAAGGATTGCAAATTGTATTATACATCTTGAATTGTACCGCCTTGTCACTAATAACCCTTCGTGGTTGATGTGACAATAAACATTTACATAAAAAAAAAAAAAAAAAAAAAAATAGAGAAAAATTAAAGGATTTTTAAATAAAAAAAATGTCAATAAACCGAAAAATCGAAAAACTGGAAAATCGAGAAATAAAAAACTTTAATAAATCGAAAAATTGAAAAACCGGAAAATCTAAATCCGATAGGTCGACAAATCGGAACGTCAAAAAACTAAACAAACGGAAATTTAAAATTTCGAAAAATCGAAAAAACAGACATCGAAGAACTGGACAGTCCAAAAATCGAGAAATACGAAAAATTTAAAATTTTAAAAATTGAAATATTAAAATGTTGACAAAATGAAGAATCCAAAAACTGAAACATCGAGAAATCGAAGCCTCAAAAAATCGAAAAATGGAAAATCTGAAATTTAAACTTCAAAAACTGAAATTCGAAAAAGTAAAAATCGAGAAATGGAAAAGTCGAAATATTGAAAAATCCTTAAAACAAAAAAATAGAAAAATTGAAGAATTTTTAGATAAAAAAAATGTCGATAAATCGAAAAATCGAGAAACTGGAAAATCGAGAAATAAAAAACTTTAATAAATCGAAAAATTGAAAAACCAGAAAATTTAAAACTGAGGAGTTGATAAATCGAAACATCAAAAAACTGAACAAACTAAACTTTAAAATTTCGAAAAATGAAAAAAAAAACAGACATCGAAGAATTGAATAGTCCAAAAATCGAGAAATACGATAAAATATAAAATTTTAAAAATTGAAATATTAAAATATCGACAAAATTTAAGAATTCAAAAACTGAAAAATCGAGAAATAGGAGCCTCAAAAAATCGAAAAATTTGAAAATATAAAATTCAAACTTCAAAAACTGAAATTCGAAAAAGTAAAAATAGAGAAATGGAAAAATCGAAATATTGAAAAATCCTTAAAGCAAAAATATAGAAAAATTGAAGAATTTTTAAATGAAAAAAATGTCGATAAATCGAAAAACTGGAAAATCGAGGAATAAAAAACTTTAATAAATCGAAAATTGAAAAATCGGAAAATCTAAAACCGAGGAGTCGACAAATCGAAACATCAAAAAACTGAAGAAACTGAAATTTAAAATTTCGAAAAATGGAAAAAAAACAGACATCGAAAAACTGAACAGTCCAAAAATGTAGAAATACGAAAAATTTAAAATTTTAAAAATTGAAATATTAAAATATCGACAAAATGAAGAATTCAAAAACTGAAAGATCCAGAAATCGAAGCATAAAAAAAAATCGAAGAATTGGAAAATCTAAAATTCAAACTTCAAAACTGAAATTCGAAAAAGTAAAAATCGAAATATGTATTGCAAAATCCTTAAAACAAAAATACAGAAAAATTGAAGAATTTTTTAATAAAAAAATGTCGATAAATCGAAAAATCGAAAAACTGGAAAATCGAGAAATAAAAAACTTTAATAAATCGAAAAATTGAAAAACCGGAAAATCTAAAACCGAGAGGTCGACAAATCGGAACATCAAAAACTGAACAAACTGGAATTTAAAATTTCGAAAAATGGAAAAAAAACAGACATCGAAGAACTGGACAGTCCAAAAATCGAGAAATACGAAAAATTTAAAATTTTAAAAATTGAAATATTAAAATATTGAAAAAATTGAAGAATTCAAAAACTGAAAAATCGAGAAATCGAAGCCTAAAAAAAATCGAAAAATTGGAAAATCTAAAATTCAAACTTCAAAATCTGAAATTCGAAAAACTAAAAATTGAGAAATGGGAAAATCGAAATATTGAAAAATCCTTAAAGCAAAAATATAGAAAAATTGAAGAATTTTTAAATAAAAAAATGTCGATAGATCAAAAAACTGGAAGCTCGAGAAATAAAAAACTTTAATAAATCGAAAAATTGAAAAACCGGAAAATCTAAAACCGAGGAATCGACAAATCGAAGCATCAGAAAACTGAACAAACTAAAATTTAAAAGTTCGAAAAATGGAAATAACAGACAAACAGAGAAGTCCAAAAATCGAGAAATACGAAAAATTTAAAATTATAAATATTGAAATCGAGAAATCGAAGCATCAAAAATCCAAAAATTGGAAAATCTAAAATTCAAAACTTCAAAAAGGGAAAAAACAGACAAAAACAAAGAAGTCCAAAAATCGGGAAATACGAAAAATATAAAATTATAAAAATTGAAATCGAGAAATCGAAGTATCAAAAATCGAAAAATTGGAAAATCTAAAATTCAAAACTTCAAAAATTGGAATTCGAGAAAGTAAAAAATCGAAATATTGAAAAATTCTAAAAGAAAAATATCGAAAAATTGAAAAATCGAAGAAAAATAGAAATATTCAAGGAATTAAAGCCAAAGATTTTAACCATGTTTTAAGTTTCTTGTTGTGAAAATATGGCTATGTATATTAAGAAAAAAAAGACAAGATATAAGCCCCACCCACCCGCCCTATCTCAATTGTAACGAATTTTTTTATTCGTTGTGAGTCAAGGGGGGCGGCTTAACTGCAAAATCCTTATTTCTCTACGAGAAATTAAAAACATGTTATTGAGTATCGTGTTTTTCAAAAAATACTGTGTATATTAAGAAAAAATTAAAACCAAAGATTAAGCCCCACCCATACCTGACCTGATCTAGATATGTAGTATTGAAGTTTTCATTCGTTGCCACATCTAGGGGCGGAGCCTAATTGCAAAATCCATATTTCCCCACAAAAATTTAGCATTTTGAACGTGTTTTAAGTTTCCAAAAATAAAAAAAAAACATCACAATTGAGATGGGGTGGGTGGGTGGGGTTTATATTTTGTCTTTTTTTCTTAATATACGTAGTATTTCTTGTGGAGAAATAAATATTTTGCAGTTAAGCTGGCGATTAAAAAAAATCATCACAATTGAGATAGGGTGGGTGGGCGGAGCTACATTTTGCCTTTTTTTTTTAATATGTGTAGACTCATTTCGACAATAAGAAATTTAAAACATGTTTAAAATGGGAAATTTGTACAACGAAATATCGATTTTGCAATTAGGCTCCGCCCCATAATTACAAAATCCATATTTCCTCATAAAAATGTGCCATTTTAACCATGTTTTAAGTTTCTTGTTGTGAAAAGATGGCTATGTATACTAAGCAAAAAAAAGGCCAAAATATAAGCCCCGCCCACCCGCCCTATCTCAATTCTGATGATTTTTTTTATTCGTCGTAAGCCGAGGGGCGGAGCTTAATTGTAAAATCCTTATTTTTCTACGAGAAATTACCATGTGAAATATGTTCTTAAGTAATCGTGTTATGCAAAGAAAACTAAATGTATTAATTAAAAAAGAAAACCAAAAGAGAAGCTCCACCCATCCGTCTTGATCTGAATCGTGATGAATTTTTTATTCGTTGTCAGACCGAGGGGCGGAGCGTAAAATCAAAAAATTAAAGAATCCAAATATTGCAAAATTCCAAAACTTGTTCCGATATTTCGAAAATTTGAAAAAAGGAAGAAAAATTGAGAAATCAAAAAACTGAAAAACCAAAAAGCTGAAAAATAAAAAAAGTGAAAATCGAAACATTGAAATAATGTCCAGAAATTGAGAAATGTGTAAATCGAGAAATCGATTAATTTAATGGAGAAATTGGGAAATCGAAAAACTGAAAATTTATAAACGACAAAAATTGAAAAATAAAAAAACTGAAATATTCGAAAATTGGGATATCGAAAAATGAAGAAATAAAAATCGAAAATTTGAAGAATCGAGAAATTGAAAAAAAACTGAAAAATTTGGAAATCAAAAGTTGAAGAATCAAGAAATTAAAACGCTGAAAAATTGAAAATTCAAAAAAAATTTCATTGTTTCCCCTAAAAATCTCTATACCTAGGCCAAAAATTCATAACGGATTCATAAACCACTATTTCAGGACTACGTTACTTTTTAACATTTAGATAACATGAACGGACAAATTTTGCTTAAGAGAGGAACAAAAAAACCGTAATAAAAGCGACAAAAAGTTATGAAAAAACAGGAAAAAAAAGGGAAGAACAAAAGCGGCAGGAAAATATGAGAGAAAAAAAGGGGGGAAATAGAAAAGAGTGGTGAAGGGGAAGAGAGGACAGGGAAAAGTTAAAGACAAAAACGGGAACAAAAAAAAGGGGAGAAGAAAAGTGGAGAATAAAAGGGGGAAAACAAAACGGGGAAAAAAAGGGGGTGGAAAAGAGGGAGCGGGAAACTAGGAGGGAAAAATAAGGAAATACATTGACCATAAAAAGGTATATGAGCCCCGCCCACCCGCCCTATCTCATTTCTCATGATTTTTTTTATTCGTCCTAAGCCGAGGGGCGGAGCCTAATTGCAAAATCGATACTTTCCTACAAAAATTTACCATTGTGAACATGAAATGATGGCAGCTATTTAAAATATGAGGGTTTCGGTGAACAGGTGATTAATTGGTTTAATGTTAGTGGACCTCATTATCTCTATCAAAATTTTATTTTCGTTGAATTAATGCTGCAAACCAGAAAAATGTCCCCCCTAGTTTAGGGGATTTTGCTTCAAGTTGGCAGTACTGCACACTACCGCAATTTGATTGGTTGAAAACCCAACGTCAAGGGCAACGTAACGGCGAACAGCAACGTCAGCGGCAAGTTTATAAATCGACCTTAATAACCAACTTACAAGGATAGTAGATTTTTTTTCCGTTCTTATAAACTAGGAGCGTTATATACTCCTTATTATCTCTAAAGTCCTCAATGTCTGTGATATGTCGTGTCAACAATAACCAAACAGCCCCTGAGGCGTTGTGACTTACATCTAACGAAAACTGAGGGTTGGATCCTATGGTGTATAAATCTTTAACAGGGCCGGTTCCTGCATTCCACGATCTACGAAATACGAAAATATAATTACGATTTTATTTATATATATTGACAAAATTCTTACTGGTGTATGCAGAACGTATATTTAAACAACTCCGGGTTCCAGTTCATGTAAAAAACATCAAAAAACGCACACACGCTCTCGTAGTCTATCCAGAACACCCCGTTATCGAACTGGGCGGCGCTGCTGGGGTCGTAATTGAGGCGTCTTTGCAGGTCCGGGGTCCACCTTTTGACGTCGAGTTCGGAGAATCGGCCGCGCCACCGCAGGTGGGACCACGGGTTTTTTAGTTTGAGCAGGCGGATCTGGACAAAGTTATTATTTTTTTTTTAAGTGTGTCGGGTGATATGGAATGGGTTACCCCGTCTATGGTCTGGACGTCCATGACGGCGTAGGCATGGGTTGGTACAAGGCCGCTTCTCTCGGCGTCCGCGTCTGAGAGTTCTCCCGTCGCGACGGTCACCAGGACGTCGCCTTTAGCTAAACGGGATTCCAGGGTCGAGAAAAGGGCGTCGCGGTTGAAGTCGGGATCGTTGCCTCGTATTGCGGTTCTTTCCGGGATCCAGCCGGTAAGGGCGTGGAGGTCGATGTTCTGGAAAAGGGGGATTTATTTCGAGGTTGTAATATTCTGTGGTTTTTCGAATTTACTAGGTTAATTTAAATAAGGAGTGGTTGAAAATCGGCTTTAATAGTGGGAGTTTTTCAAATGGCACAAAATGGTTGAAAAATTGAAAAACCGAAAAATCTAAATCCGAAACATTAAAAAATCGAAATTGAAAAATTTCCAAAAATGAAATGTTGAAAAATTGACAAATCGAAAACTTGAAAATGGTGAAATCTAAAAATCAAAGTCGAAAAATTTGACAAATCGAAAAACTGAAAAATCAAAAATTTAAAAAAACCCAAAAATTGAAAAATAGGCATATCGATGAACTGAGAAATCGAAATATCAAAAAGGCAAAATTAAAATATCGAAAACCGAAAAATAAAAAAACGAAAAAACGAGAAATCGAAAAATTTTAAATTTAAAAAATCAAAAAATTGGAAAATTGAACAATTGAGAAACGAAAAATTCCAAAACTGACATGACGAAAAATTGAAAAACCGAAGCATTGAATTTTTCAGTTTTTCGACATTTTAATTTTTAAAATATTTGATTTTTCGATTTGTCGACTTCTCGGTTTTAGATTTTTCGGTTTTTCATTTTTTCGATTTATTAAAGTTTTTATTTTTCGCTTTTTCAGATCCTCGTTTTCTTCGATATTTTTTTATTTTAAAATTTTCAATTTTTCAATTTGTAACTTTTCGGTCTGGATTATTTCGATTTCTTCCATGTTTCAGTTTTTCAACTGTTCAATTTTTTTCTTCGATTTTTCAATTTTTCGATATTTCAGTTTTGGGATTTTTCAATATGTATTAGATTTTTCAATTTTTCGATTTTTTAATGTTTCGATTTGTTGATTCCTCGGTTTTAGATTTTTCGGTTTTTCAATTTTTCGATTTATTAAAGTTTTTATTTTCGCTGTTTCAGTTTTTCGATTTATCGATTTTTATTTTAAATTTTTATTTTTTTTTAATTTTAGAGTTTAGGATATCTCCATTTCTTCGATGTTTCAGTTGTTCCATTTTTCGACTTTCCCTTTTTTAGACTTTCCAACTTTTGGATTTTTTGATGTTCCAGTTTTTCAATTTTAAATTCTTCGATTTTTCGACTTCCCGATTTCTCGATGTTTCAGTTTTTCAACTTTTGAGTTTTCGATTTCTCTATTTTTCGACTTTTCGCCCTTTCAATTTTTTGATTTTCCAATTTTTCGACGTTTCGATCTTTTAATTATTCGATTTCCCAATTTTTCGTCATTTCAGTTTTGGAATTTTAAATTTCCCAATTTTTGAGTTTTTAGATACTTCAATTTTTCAATGTTTAAATTTTAGATTTTTTACTTTTTCAGTTTTTAAAATTTTAAATTTCTGCAATATTTCTATTTTTCAATTTTTCGATCTCTCAGTTTTTCTTCGATTTTTCAATTTTTGGATTCTACAATTTTTCGATATTTTAGTTTTTCAATTTTTAAGGTTTTAGATTTTTTGACCTTTCAGTTCTTCTGCCTGTTTTGATATTTTTCGAATTTTTAAATTGTTAATTTTTCAGTTTTTTGATGTTTCGATTTCTCGATCTGTCAATTTTTCGACTCAGTTTTAGATTTTTCGGTTTTTCAGTTTTTTGATTTTTAAAATTTTTGAATTTTCGATTTTTCAATTTTTGATATTGCAAAATTTTTGATTCTTTGATAGATAGATTTTTCAATGTTTGGATTTTCTGATTTCTCGACTTTTCGATTTCTCGATTTTTCAGATATTCAATTTTTTCGATTTTTGGATTTCTCAATTTTTTACTTTTGGTTTTAGTTTTTGCGATTTTTTTTTGACTTTTCACCTTGCCGATTTCACAGTTTTTCGTCATTTCAGTTTTGGAATTTTTCAATTTCTCGATTCGTCAATTTTCCAATTTTTCGATTTTTAAAGTTAAAATTTTTCGATTTCTCGATTTTTCGTTTTTTTATAAAATCGAGAAATCGAAAAATCGAAATATTGAAAAATCCCAAAACTATATCGAAATACTGAAAAATTGAAAAATAAAAATATTGCAGAAATCAAAAATTCTAAAAATTGAAAAATTAAAATATCGGGACATCGAAACATCAAAAATCGAAAAATTCAAAAATCTAAAATTTAAACATCGAAAAATTGAAAAATTGGAAATCAGAATCGAAAAACTGAAAATTCGAGAAATTGAAAAATTCCAAAACTGGAATGACGAAAAATAGTGAAATCGAAACATTGAAAGATCGAAAACAGAAAAATAGAGGAATCGAAAAATCGAAATATTGAAAAATTCCATAACAGAAATACCGAAAATTAAAAAATCTAAAATTTAATCGAAAAACTAAAAAATTGGAAAATTGGAAGATCGAAACATCCAAAAACTTGAAAACCAAAAAATCGAAAAGGCAAAAAGTCGAAAAACAGAGAAATCGAAAACTCAAAAATTGAAATACATACCAAAACATTGAGAAATCGAAAAGTCGAGAATTCCAAAAATCGAGAAATCAAATTAGCCCAAAATCGAAGTCAAAAATTGAAAAATTTAAAATAAAAACAAATCAAAAATAAAAAATTTAAATTTCGAAAAATTGAGAAACCGAAAAATCTCAAACCGAGAAGACGAAATTCGAAACATCAAAAAATTGAAAAAACTAAAATTTAAAAATTGGACAAAATGAAAAATAGACATCGAAGAACTCAATCGTCGAGAAATCGAAAAACCTAAAATCTTGAAAATTGAAAAATTAAAATATCGAAAAACTAAAGAATCGAAAAAAAAATTGATAAATGGAAATATTGCAGAAATTTAAAATTTTAAAAATTGAAAAATTAAAATATCGAGAAATCGAGACATCAAAAAATCGAAAAATTAAAAAATCTAAAATTTAAATATCAAAAAATTGGAAAATTGAAGATTAGAAAAACTGAAAAATCGGGAAAGTGGAAAATATCAAAACTGAAAAGACGAAAAATTAGGTCATCAGAAAATTGAAAGTTCGAAATATCGAAAAACTGGAAAATTAAAAATCGAAAAATCGAAAAACAGAGAAATCGAAAAATTGAAACATCGAAGAAACCGAAAAGTTAAAAATTGAAACATTTAAAATGGAAAAAATATCGAAAAATTGAAAAAGCGAAAAACAAAAAACTTTAATAAATCGAAATATTGGAAAACCGAAAAATCTAAAACCAAGGAGTCAGGAAATCGAAACATCAAAAAACTGAACAACCTAAAATTTAAAATTTCCAAAAATAGAAAAACAGACATCGAAGAACTGAAAAGTCCAAAATCGAGAAATCGAAAAATTAATAAACCTGGATTTAAACATCTAAAATTGTAAAATTGAAGAATCGAAAAACTGAAAATCGGGAAATTGACAAATTCCAAAACTGAAATGACGAAAAATTGAAAGATCTAAACGTCGAAAAACCGGAAAATCAAACAATCGAATAGGCGAAAAGTTGCAAAATAGAGAAATTGAAAATTCAAAAATTGAAAAACTGAAACATCGAGAAATCTAAAAATCGAAGTCGAAAAATCGAAAAATGGAAAATTTAACAAAATCGAAAAATTGAAAAATCAACAAACTGAAAAATCCAAAAATTTAAAAATCCTAAAAAATTGAAAAATAGAGGAACTGAAAAATCAAAACAGTAAAAATTGGAAACTTTAAAAATTTATGATTTAAAAATGGAAAAATTAAAATATCGAAGATCTAAAAATAAAAAAACGAAAAATAGAAAAATTGAAAAACCGAAAAATGGAAAATTTAACAAAATCGTAGAAAAATTGAAATATTGAAGAATGGAAAAGTCGAAAAGTCTAAAACTATAAAAACTGAAAAATTAAAACATCAAAAAATCCAAAAATTAAAACATCTAAAATTTAAACATCGGAAAATTGGAAAATTTAAAATCGGGAAATTGACAAATTCCAAAACTGAAATGACGAAAAATTGAAAGATCTAAACTAAATCTAAAAATTGAAGTCGAATAATTTTAAAAATCGTAAATTCAAAAATCGAAAAATGGGAAATTTAAGAAAATCGATGAATTGAAAAATCAAAGAACTGAAAAATCCAAAAACTAAAAATCCCAAACAACTGAAAATAGAAGAACTAAGAAATCGAAAAATCAAAACAGCAAAAATTGGAAAATTTAAAAATTTATGATTTAAAAATGGAAAAATTAAAATATCGAGAAATCGAGACAACAAAAAATCGAAAAATTAAAAAATCTAAAGTTTAAATATCATAATTTAATATCAAAAAATTCGAAAATTGAAGAATAGAAAAACTGAAAAATCGGGAAACTGGAAAATATCAAAACTGAAAAGACGAAAAATTGGGTCATCAGAAAATTGAAAGATCGAAATATCGAAAAACTGGAAAATTAAAAATCGAAAAATCGAAAAACAGAGAAATCGAAAAATTGAAACATCGAAGAAACTGAAAAGTTAAAAATTGAAACATTTAAAATGGAAAAAATATCGAAAAATTGAAAAAGCGAAAAATAAAATACTTTAATAAATATAAAATATTGGAAAACCGAAAAATCTAAAATCAAGGAGTCGGGGAATCGAAACATCAAAAAACTGAACAACCTAAAATTTGAAATTTCCAAAAATAGAAAAACAGACATCGAAGAACTGAAAAGTCCAAAATCGAGATATCGAAAAATTAAAAAACTTTGATTTAAACATCTAAAATTGGAAAACTGAAAAATGGAAAATTTAACAAAATCGAAAAATTGAAAAATCAAAAAACTGAAAAATCCAAAAATTTAAAAAATAGAAGAACTGAGAAATCGGAAAATCAAAACAGTAAAAATTGGAAAATTTCAAAATCTATGATTTAAAAATGGAAAAATGAAAATATCACAACCGAAAAATGTAAAATTTTTAAAATTGAAAAATTGAAGAATCAAAAAAATTGAAAAATTGAGAAATCCAAACATCAAAAACCCGAAAAAACTGGAAAGTTAAAGAATCTAAAATATCGAAAATTGAAAAAAATCTAAAAATCGAAGAATTGAAAAATCGAAAAACTGAAAAATCAAAAATGAAAAATTTGAAAATCGAAAATGAAAAACCGAGAAACCTCAAACCTAGAAGAAGAAAAATAAAAAAACCGAAAAATGTAAAATTTAGAAATTCGAAAAACCGAAAAATCTAAAATTTTAAAAATTGAAAAATTAAATATCGAAAAATTGAATAATCAAAAAAATTGAAAAATTGAGAAATCCAAACATCAAAAACCCGAAAAAACTGGAAAGTTAAAAAATCTAAAATATCGAAAATTGAAAAAAATCTAAAAATCGAAGAATTGAAAAATCGAAAAACTGAAAAATCAAAAATGAAAAATTTAAAAATCGAAAATGAAAAACCGAGAAACCTCAAACCTAGAAGAAGAAAAATCAAAAACCGAAAAATGTAAAATTTAAAAATTCGGAAAACCGAAAAATCTAAAATTTTAAAAATTGAAAAATTAAACACCGAAAAATTGAAGAATCAAAAAAATTGAAAAATTGAGAAATCCAAACATCAAAAACCCGAAAAAACTGGAAAGTTAAAAAATCTAAAATATCGAAAATTGAAAAAGTAAAAAAATCGAGAAATCGAAAAACACCGTTTATAAAGTACGCATTTCGTTTATAAAGTACAGGGTTCAAAATTTCAAATTAACGCAATATTTAAAAAAATCTGGGTGTCTGGAGTAAAAATTCATGAACAAAAATATGGAATATTTCCAAATTTTCATGTTCAAACATTTGAGGTAAATAATTCTTAAATTTTTGTGGGAATGCAATTGTGAAAAAAAATGAGATTTTCGAAAAATTGCACAAAAATTCTCAAAAAATTCTGTAACATAGAGAGCAAAATTTTCTGAAAACATTAAGTTTCAAATTCTTGTTCTTCGTTTTCATAACATAAAAAAAAATGTTTCATAATTTCATTCTTATAAAAATTAAAAAAACTGTTTACCTAAAATATTTAAAAAAATAAAGTGTTCTATCTAGTGCGAAGTGTTTAAGTAACTTAAATAGTCATATCGAAAAAATATGAAAATTTCAAAATGATCTTATATTGACTGCAAAATTTTCACGTGACGTCATCAAAGTCTTGGTGGGGATGATCCGACATGTGTATTATCAATTACCTCCAGGTGTTTTTAATATATCAACACATTTTTTCTTGATTCTGATTTCATTTATATAAATTGCGAATTTTTTTCTTATTATAATATATAAAATAAATAAAACAAAATTTCCAGTGACGCCAGATTTAACTTAATTTCTAAACTTACGCTGTTGCTACCAGGAAAGTCGTATCCCCCCATAACCTTCATATACGCCTTCTCCAGCAACGAGATCCAAAACTCCCTTTTAATGCTCGAATACGAACACAATAACTGCCCATATCTATTAATGGGCAAATAATCATCGATTATAACCTTCCTAGTGACCCCATTTATGTGCAACTTAATCATATACTTCCCAAACGGGTTATACCGAGGCTGCTTATTCTTCCCTTGTGGATAAATAATCGCAGTGACCAACTTCCGCCCGAATCTCTTCTCATAACTAGCACTAACGGCCAAACTCGCCACAAACGAACAATCAGAAATCACGGTCTGCTTGATATTGAGGTAGTTGGGAGCAGGACCATCCACAATACAGGGCTCCCCACACAAATCCTGTGGCCGAACCCAACTGGAAAATTCTCGCCTCTGCTTAGGAGCCAGCGCTAAATGGCCGTCTTTATCAGTGAAAGGAATGGAATACTGGAATCTTTCAGACAGATCTACCGTCATAAAGGGCACGTATTCGCGCCTGTTGATATTCGAAGTGTGCAATAATACTGCTTTTTCCTCTTCAGTGTACGAATCGCCGCCTGAGACTTGCAAGTGGGCGCTGGAACCGCGGTGAAGGGTGGGTTTAACTCTCACGGGGGTGGTGGCAGCCGGGGCGGTTTTTTCTACCTTGGGTTCACGTTTAATACCTAGCAAGTAAAGTGTTACAGGGTGTTTTATTTTCCATTTGAAATTAATAAAACTAAGTACCTTTTAGGGCCTCAGCTCTCTCCAGGCCTTGAAGGGCGAGCTGTTTGAGCTCTCCTTGCATCAAGTCAGGGAACTGCGTGATGAACTCGATGACTTTAGCATAAAGCTCGATGGCGTCTTCTTTGTCACCGGCTTCATCCTCCTCGATTGCTTGTTGTAGCAAAAAATAGCACTTTTGTACTCTTTGTTTATTGACATCTTCTTCCAAGATCTTCGTTTCTGTTTTTTGCGAATTTCGCAACTCCTCGGCTCGGTTTTTGTATTCAGAGGCTTTCGCTTTGAATGTTTGCGCTTTTTCGTCTTCGAGGAGTGTTGTGGCTCGTTCGAGGAGCGTGGAGGCTGATTCGTAGTAATAGATCGACGGTTCTATTTGACCTTGTTGGTCGAATTGGACGGCTTTTTTCGCTGCTTCGACGGCATCCTCGATAAATTGGCCTGGGCTAGACATTTATTCTAAAATAGAGGGTTATTAGTGATTAGTTTGACAGATGAAAGTGAGGTTATGGCGAGTGGGATTAATTTAAAGACGATAAATTTGAGATAATGTCGTCGTTCGATTGAATATGAGGCGCGATAAATGGATGTAATAAAAGAAATTGAGCGAATTAATGACGTACACTGTAATAAACGGTATTGTTTTTATTATTGTTGTGACACTCCAGCTGGGTGACATGACATTGTACTTTGGGGCTTTTTTTTTTCTTGGAGTGGTGGGACTGATGGGGGATTTACGGATTTACGGGTCTGGTGATCGAGAAGGATGTTTTTTTTTATAATATGGGATTAGCGACTCAGGCGGAGAACATTTTAGCTTGAGTTATGATTATGGGACTTTAAATTTCCATTGTTAAACTTGATTTCAGCGAATTTAATTAAATGCTAGACGAGAAGAACAGTTTTTTCAAACTTTATTGTATCTCTTTAAAAAATAGTTTCAAGTAGAGAAATTCTGCTGTTTTAGTGTAATTCCCAGAGATTTCCTTTGCTTGTTTCTTTAATTATTATTCTAAAAATGTTAAATTTTAAATATTTTGGTACTAAAGTAGCTTTGAAGCATTAAAAGAAGTATAAAAAATGTGTGTTCAAAATTACCACAATTTGGGAATTAAGAAGTGATTTAATCTTTTTTTTTTAATTCAGACACATTTTTTTTTTTTAATATAGAAAAGACGACAGAGAATACGTGGCTTTAAAATAAAAATGCTGCAAAATTTCGAATTTTTAACATTTTCAAATTAAGTATTTCAATTTTAAATCTTGTAGAAAGTAAAAAAAAGAATTACCTTATTTAATTTACAATAAGGTGTCAAAATGGACAATTTAAATTAAAAAAAAAATTGCAAGAATTATTAGAAAATTATAGAAATGTTAGAAATAAGTTAATTAATTATTTTGAATTTTTTCAAAAAAGTGGTTAAAATGTGTTCAATCGACACAATCGATTGATGTCAAATTGTAGATAATTGTCCGCCAACTAAGAATCTGAAATCGCCGTCAATGCATCTATTCAAATAAACGTGAAAACTGAGTGTAAAATTTTCAAAATTTTTCCAAAAAAGTGGTTAAACTCTGTTCAATCGATTGAGAATTGGTGTCAGATTGTAGATAATCTTCCGCAGATTTCAAATTCGAAATAGCCGTCACTGCCCCCATTTAAATAAACGTGAAAAGTGAGCCTGAAATTTCCAAAATTTTGCCAAAAAAGTGGTTAAAGTGCGTTCAATCGACTGAAAATTGCTGTCAAATTGTAGATAATTATCCGCCAACTAAGAATCTGAAATCGCCGTCAATGCATCTATTCAAGTAAACGTGAAAACTGAGTCTAAAATTTTCAAAATTTTTTCCAAAAAATGAAAATTGGTGTCAGATTGTAGATAATCTTCCGCAGATTACAAATTCGAAATAGCCGTCACTGCCCCCATTTAAATAAACGTGCAAAGTGAGCCTGAAACTTCCAAAATTTTTCCAAAAAAGTGGTTAAAATGTGTTCAATCGACTGAAAATTGATGTCAAATTGTAGGTAATTTTCCGTTTATTAAGAATCTGAAATCGGCCTCACTGCATCTATTCAAATAAACGTGAAAACTGAGTCTAAAATTTTTCCAAAAAAGTGGTTAAAATGTGTTCAATCGACTGAAAATTGCTGTCAAATTGTGGATAATTATCCGCCAACTAAGAATCTGAAATCGCCGTCAATGCATCTATTCAAGTAAACGTGAAAACTGAGTCTAAAATTTTCAAAATTTTTTCCAAAAAAGTGGTTAAACACTGTCCAATCGACTGAAAATTGGTGTCAGATTGTAGATAATCTTCCGCAGATTACAAATTCGAAATAGCCGTCACTGCCCCTATTTAAATAAACGTGAAAAGTGAGCCTGAAATTTCCAAAATTTTTCCAAAAAAGTGGTTAAAATGTGTTCAATCGACTGAAAATTGATGTCAAATTGTAGGTAATTTTCCGTTTATTAAGAATCTGAAATCGGCCTCACTCCATCTATTCAAATAAACGTGAAAAGTGAGTCTAAAATTTTCAAAATTTTTCCAAAAAAGTTATTAAACTCTGTCCAATCGACTGAGAATTGGTGTCAAATTGTAGATAATTATCCGCCAACTAAGAATCTGAAATCGCCGTCAATGCATCTATTCAAGTAAACGTGAAAACTGAGTCTGAAATTTTCAAAATTTTTTCCAAAAAAGTGGTTAAACTCTGTTCAATCGACTGAAAATTGGTGTCAGATTGTAGATAATCTTCCGCAGATTACAAATTCGAAATAGCTGTCACTGTCCCCATTTAAATAAACGTGAAAAGTGAGCCTGAAATTTCCAAAATTTTTCCAAAAAAGTGGTTAAAATGTGTTCAATCGACTGAAAATTGATGTCAAATTGTAGGTAATTTTCCGTTTATTAAGAATCTGAAATCGGCCTCACTGCATCTATTCAAATAAACGTGAAAAGTGAGTCTAAAATTTTCAAAATTTTTCCAAAAAAGTTATTAAACTCTGTCCAATCGACTGAGAATTGGTGTCAGATTGTAGATAATCTTCCGCAAATTATAAATTCGAAATAGCCGTCACTGCCTCCATTTAAATAAACGTGAATAGTGAGCCTGAAATTTCCAAAATTTTTCCAAAAAAGTGGTTAAAATGTGCTCAATCGACTGAAAATTGATGTCAAATTGTAGATAATTATCCGCCAACTAAGAATCTGAAATAGCCGTCAATGCATCTATTCAAATAAACGTGAAAACTGAGTCTAAAATTTTCTAAATTTTTTTCCTAAAAACTGGTTAAACTCTGTCCAATCGAGTGAGAATTGGTGTCAGATTATAGATAATCTTCTGCAGATTACAAATTCGAAATAGCCGTCACTGCCCCCATTTAAATAAACGTGAAAAGTGAGCCTGAAATTTCCAAAATTTTTCCAAAAAAGTGGGTAAAATGTGTTCAATCGACTGAAAATTGATGTCTAATTGTAGATCATTTTTCGTTAATTAAGAATCTGAAATCGGCCTCAGTGCATCTATTCAAATAAACGTGGAAAGTGAGTCTAAAATTTTCAAAATTTTTCCAAAAAAGTGGTTAAAATAGGTTCAATCGACTGAAAGTTGATGTCAAATTGTAGATAATCTTCCGTTAATTAAGAATCTGAAATCGGCCTCACTGCATCTATTCAAATACACGTGGAAAGTGAGTCTAAAATTTTAAAAATTTCTCCAAAAAGTAGTTACAATGTGTTCTATCGACTGAAAATTGATGTCAAATTGTGAATAATTATCTGCCAACTAAGAATCTGAAATCGCCGTCAATGCATCTTTTCAAACGAACGTGAAAACTGAGTCTAAAATTTTCAAAATTTTTCCAAAAAAGTGGTTAAAATAGGTTCAATCGACTGAAAGTTGATGTCAACTCGTAGATAATTTTCAGTTAATTAAGAATCTGAAATCGCCCTCGGTGCATCTATTCAAATAAACGTGAAAAGTGATTTTAAAATTTTCAAAATATTTTCAAAAAAGTGGTTGAAATAGGTTTTATCGACTGAAAATCCGTGTCAAATTGTAGATAATCTTCCGCCAACTAAGAATCTTAAAAATGCTGTTGCCGTATCTATTAAAAAGACGTGTAAACAGAGTCAAAAATTTTTAAAATTTTTCCAAAAAAGTGGTTAAAATAGGTTAATTCGACTGAAAATTGGTGTCAGATTGTAGATAACCTTCCGCGAATTAATAATCTGAAAACACCGTCACTGTATCTATTCCAATAAACATGAAAACTGAGTATAAAATTTTCAAAATTTTTCCAAAAAACTGGTTAAAATGTGTTGAATCTACTGAAAATTGGTGACAAATTGTAGATAATTTTCCGTTAATTAAGAATCTGAAATCGCCCTCAATGCATCCATTCAAATAAACGTGAAAAGTGATTCTAAAATTTTCAAAATTTTTCCAAAAAAAAGTGGTTAAAATGTGTTGAATCGACTGAAAATTGGTGTCAAATTGTAGATAATCTTTGGATAATTAAGAATCTGAAATCGCCGTCACAGCATCTATTCAAATAAACGTTGAAAGTAAGTCTAAAATTTTCAAAATTTTTCCAAAATTTGATTAAAATGTTCAATCGATTGAAAATTGGTGTCAAATTGTAGATAATCTTCCGCTAATAAAAAATGTGAAATCGCTGTCACTGTACTTATGCAAATAAACGTGAAAAGTGAGTCTAAAATTTTCAAAATTTTTCCAAAAAAGTAGTTAAAATTTGTTCAATGTACTGAAAATTGGTGTCAAATTGTAGATAATTTTTCGCTAATCAAGAATCTGAAATCGTCGTCAGCGCATCTATTCAAATAAACGTGTGAAGTGAGTCAAAATTTTCAAAATATTTCCAAAAAAGTGGTTAAAATGTGTCCGATCGACCGAAAATTGGTGTCAAATTGTAGATAATTTTCCGCAAAATACAAATCCGAAATCACCGTCTTCGCATCTTCTCAAATAAACGCGAAAACTGAGCCTAAAATTTTGAAAGAGAAATCGCCGTCTTTCTATCTATACAAATAACTGTGAAATATGAGCCCAAAATTTTCAAAATTTTTTCAAAAAAATGGTGAAGTGCGGATCAATCTACTGAAAATTGGTGTCAAATTGAAGATAATCTTCCGGCAATTAATAATCTGAAATCGCCGTCACTGTATCTGTTCCAATAAACACGAAAAGTGAGTCTAAAATTTTCAAAATTTTTCCAAAAAAGTGGTTAAAATGTGTTGATTCGACTGAAAATTGGTGTCAAATTGTAGATAATCTTTGGCTAATTAAGAATCTGAAATCGCCGTCACTGCATCTGTTCAAATAAACGTGCAAACTGAGTCTAAAATTTTCAAAATTTTTCCAAGAAAGTTGTTAACATAGGTTCAATCGACTGAAAATTGGTGTCAAATTGTAGATAATTTTCGGTTAATTAAGAATCTGAAGTCGCCCTTACTGCATCTATTCAAATAAACGTGAAAAGTGATTCAAAATTTTCAAAATTTTTCCAAAAAAGAGGTTAAACTGTCCAATCGACTGAGAATTGGTGTCAG